TTCCTTTCTCTTTCACCTCTGTCTCCGTGTCTGGTCGGAATTACAAAGCATTCAACAACAATAACAATAAAGTTTTAAGTATCAGGTGTGACATTAAAAGCAAACGCTTTGATGCTCCACCTGAGAATAAATCTGTAAGGCTTGTCACCAGCATTCAGACATCAATTCTGCTTGCTTCACAGCCAGACAGGACACGGTAAAATAAATAAATAAATAAATAAAGTTGTTAAACCTGTGCATATGAAACAAAAAACGCCTTTTGTTTATCGATTTATTGTGAAAAACGGAAGTTGTGCTTGCTCCTTTTCCTGTTGGGCGGTTGTGATTTCTGTCCATTTACTGCGGAGGTGCTCCAGCGTCCGGCGAAAATAGGATCGATTCTATTTTTGCCGGACGCCGGAACAGAGGGCAGCGCACGGCGCCGCATTGCCGGAGCACGGCCGCAGTAGTGGAATTGCTCTGATTGACTACAACGGGACCGATTTTGCTCCGGCATTCGTGTCGGAGCGGAGCGGAGGTAGTGGAATTTGGGGGTAAGGGACATCGTGCTTCCGTGCCATGCTAGATGGTTTTTGCATATTTTGTCACCCGTCTTTTCATGGCATCTAGAGTGAAGTGCTCCCATACTCGTGAGGTATTTGTCCAGGGTTTCTCTTCAGTATCGTCGCTTCTATCTTTATTTCTTCTTGTTCCGCCATCTCTCACAGCAAGATGCGCATCAGTAACATGTTACGTCATGAAAACCGAGGGCACTTATTGGCTCGTTTCTTCTTCTACGGCTCCACTGGTAGATCAGAGGCTCATTACTGCCACACACTGGCGACAAATTGAACAGATTGTAACCGATGTCAGATTGTGGTAAAAATAGACTTTATGCAGTTAAATGTGATTATTAAACAACTAATCAATGACTAAAAAAGTTGTTAACTATTTTAATAATCGATTAAATCGATTAGTTGTTTCAGCTCTAATATATATACATACATACATACATACATACATATATATACATATATATATATATATATATATATATATATATATGTATGTATGTATGTTGTATATATCGTATATATATATAGGTTAGAACGATAGGGGCCCACAGGGGCCTGGGCCCCTATAGAACCGGCCCTGGCTCCTGTTATGGTCCCTGTGCTGAAGAGATCAGAGTTTTTTTTCCCGCGCTGCCTCGGAGACGGAAACTTATGCGCTGCAGCGTTTCACACGGAGCCTTTAGAGACGAAGGTAAGCAATACAGTTTATTTTCCTGACATCAGTGTTTTGATCGTAGTCGCGCGTTTCTGTCATTTACTTTTAAGTTCCTAACTGAGTCTATCCACAGTTAACACTGATTTGTTTTTCCTTTGTAACATTAACTGTAAAATAAAAATGAAGTTGCTGCATGCAGATGCCACAGGCGATCTGAACGAGCTAACAGACACTGTGACATCCTACATCACCTTCTGTGAGGAAGTGTGTGTGCCAACAAAGACTTTTCGCACCTTTAATAACAACAAGCCATGGTTTACAGCAACACTGAGCCAGCTGAGACGGGCAAAAGAGCAGGCCTATATACAGATCTCTCAGGAACACTTTGACTAAGGAGATCAGAGCTGCTAAAATTAAGTATGCAGCAAAGCTGAAAGACCAGTTTACAGCCAACAACCCCACATTATTGTGGAGAAACATTCAGCAAATTACCAACTACAGGAGACCATCCTCCATTTCTGATGCTAATCATGGCCTTGCTGAGGAGCTAAATGGCTTTTATTGTCGCTTTGAGGAAAGGAATGTCACACCCCTCCTCCACTCCAGCATAGCGGCAGCCGCCACCCCTCACCTGGACACTCTTACTCCTCTTTCCTCTAAATCACAAGCAGCGTTCCTTGTGAAGGAAGAGGATGTCTGCAACATCTTTAGGAGACAGAACGTACGGAAGGCACCAGGCCCAGATGGAGTAACTCCTTCCTGCCTCAGGACATGTGCTGTCCAACTAGCACCTGTCTTCACAACGATATTCAACAGATCGCTGGAGCTGTGTGAGGTTCCATCATGCTTCAAAAGCTCCACTATCATCCCAGTACCGAAGAAATCCTCCCCTGCCGAATTGAATGACTACAGACCCGTGGCTTTGACATCAGTAGTCATGAAGTCCTTTGAGCGCTTGGTGCTGTCCCATCTTAAAAGCACCACAGGCCACCAGCTGGATCCCCTGCAGTTTGCCTATAGGGCAAACAGGTCAGTGGATGATGCAATTAACATGGAGCTGCACTTCATCCTGGAACATCTTGATCAACCAAGGACCTACGCAAGGATATTGTTTGTGGATTTTAGCTCTGCTTTTAACACCGTTATACCATAATCCTCACCTCAAAGCTCTCTCAGCTCACTGTTTCCCCTGCCATGTGTCAGTGGATTTCCAGCTTCCTGACAAATAGGAGCCAGCATGTGCGGTTGAACAATGTTACGTCTGGCACAAGGCTGATCAGCACCGGTACACCACAGGGGTGTGTCCTTTCTCCACTGCTCTTTTCTTTGTACACCAATGACTGCACCTCTAATGACTCAGCTGTAAAAATCCTGAAATTTGCAGACGACACCACTGTCATTGGGCTCATCCAGGATGGTGATGAGTCTGCTTATCAGCGAGAAGTTGAGAGGCTGGTGGTCTGGTGTAGTCAGCACAATCTTGAGCTTAACACCCTTAAGACTGTGGAGATGGTCGTGGACTTTAGGAAGCTTCCCACGGTGCTGCCCCCCCCTCACAATATCCAACAGCCCAGTGTCAATGGTGGACTCATTCAAGTTCTTGGGAACTATCATTTCCAGGGATCTGAAGTGGGAAACAAACATCAACTCCATCCTCAAAAAGGCTCAGCAGAGGATGTATTTCTTACGGCAACTAAGGAAGTACGGCCTACCACAAGAGCTGCTGATCATCTTCTACACTGCTGCAGTCGAATCCATACTTTGCTCATCCATCACTGTCTGGTTTGGGTCAGCCACAAAAATGGACAAATGCAGACTACAGCGTATTATTAAAACAGCAGGAAGAATCATTGGTGCCCAACTGCCCTCTGTCCAGGAACTGTACATCAGCAGGACCAGGAAAAAGGCAGTGAATATTGTCCAAGATGCCACACATCCTGCATCTACTCTCTTCCATCTCCTCCCATCTGGCAGACGCGATAGATCACTGTACACAAAAACTACCAGACACAAGAACAGTTTCTTTCCTTCAGCCATTTCTCTCCTGAATCTGTAGATTATTTTACCATCCTTTTACTATAGTTTTTAATACTTATTCAGTATGCTTATGGATGTGTGTGTGTGTGTGTGTGTGTGTGTGCGTGCGTGCGTGTGTGTGTGGGTATGTATATATGTATATAGGTGTGTGCGTAAATGAACATGTGTGTGGGTATACATGTTCTTATGTGTTTTTAGGTATTTTTATTCTCATTTATTATGGTTGTTGTATGTTTTAGAGAGCGAACATCTACCGAAGACAAATTCCTTGTAAATGCAATTTTACTTGGCCAATAAATCTGAAATCTGAAAATTTTAAGCCTTAGACGCGTTGAGATTAGATCACAGTATTCATTTATCTATGACTTTCTCGCAGCACTGACTGGAAGCATCAGTGGCCATGAAAAGAAAAAGGGACATTTTGTCCTTTTTTTTACCGCTGTTAATAAAGAACAGCGTAGACAGAGAGAGGATGAAAGTCACGAGGGAGCTGAGAAGCAGGATGAAAGAGAGAAGGAGGAGTTGGTTGGAGAGGAACCAGAGAGGTCAGAGGCCATCCACCCTGAGAGTGAGGAAGAAGATGGCTGTGAGGGAGAGAGTGAGGAGCAAAAAGAGGGACATCTTCTGTCATGTGCACCGTGTACACTACCGTCAGGTTTGAGGGTGTTGAACAACCCCTCTGTGATTGCAGCTCATATTGTGTGTAAAATGCATTTGAGGCATGCTGACTCTGGACCAAAATTTCTGTTGTTTATATTTAATAAATAGATAAAATAAGACTCTGAATTAACTAATTATGACTTTTATCCTCATGCTAACATTTATTTTCTTTCAGATATCAGCAAGTGCAAGGATGACCCACCTACTCAGCCTCATTTGAGGACATTTCCAGGGACATTAATAGGAGACAGAAGACGCAGCTTTCAGCCAAGCTGGTATGAAAATCATCCTTGGGTTGAATGTTCTGTTACTATGGACTCTACTTATTGTCATGCATGCAGAAATGTTAGCTCACCAAGTAGTGCAGGAAGTGTGTTTGACTCACCATGTGGATTGAGGAACTGGAAAAAAACAACTGAGAGAGGAGGTTTTTTTTGGTACATGCAAAGTCTGAAAGGCAAAAATTGAAATTGTCTGAAAATTGTCTGAAATTGTATTGTGCACATATTTAATTTGTTTGAATGTCTATTTTTCATGTGTACAGTACATGTAATCTTCAAATAAAGTCACAAACGATAATAATCAACTAGAATTTTTTTTACTCAAGTCTCATGTTGTGGTGAAGCATTCAGAATTGTTATCTGAGTACCATAAAAACATGCCAGTTTTACTTTCACAAGTAAACCATTACTGCATTCGCTGTAATAGTTTACTTGTTCATTGTCTTTAATTATGAATTTATTTGAATCTTATTTTAGTAAAATACAGCTGTAAAAGATCATAGATGAAAAAAGTAAAGGAAAATTTCTGATAAATTTGATCCCCAAAATATAGTAAAGATAGATATGAAAAAGAAGAAAACAAAAAAGTGAGTAGTTTCACGGTACTAGGAATTTCCTTTGGCAAAATTGTGCACAAGCACTATATATATATATATATATATATATATATATATATATATATATATATATATATATATATATATATATATATATATATATATATATATATATGTATAAAAACGATTCACTTGGAACTCACTGTTGTAGTAAATGTTTCTAACAAACTGTTTACAGCGTTGCCAATTGAGTGACTTCCGGCGGAGAGCGGAAGTTGTTACTTTTTTTTAAGTCCGTGTGATCAAAGGAAAACAGTCAGCTAAGAACTCGCGCTGATGCACAGGATTCTAGGTGTTGGACCAGAACGGAACCAGCATGTTTGCGGGTCTACCGGAGCTCGGGATCGCTAACGGGGAGGATCTCAAAGAAACCCTCACTAACTGCACGGAGCCTCTGAAAGCCATCGATCAGTTTCAGGTAACCTAACCGGTCCACTCAACAGCATGTACCGAAGTCCAAACGCAGCAAACCGAACGAACCAAGACATTTGTGTGAACTGCGTCTACGTTCCAGACTGTCGGAACTTTATTTTATACATGAACCCTCAATCGTTTACCATCCAGTACTTTCAGCTCCGTTTTGTTGTGACGTCAGAGAAATGTGAGATTAACATATCTTCTTGTGGGTTTGTGTCAGTGATGGTTTGTCATTGGCTGGTGGAGAAATGGGTTCTGAAACAGGCTGCTGTTCATCTGATTGGCTGTGAAGTATTTTAGCTTTTATATGTTTTCTATGGATGAATAGAAGATGGATAAATAGATGGATGGTAGGTGGATAAATTGAGCAGTTTCTTACTAGCATCAAACGTAAATTTCAGAAACCACATTTGAAAATGAAGCTAGAGGAAGCCCTACATGATGGTTCTCTGGTTTGTTCTGTATATAGAACCAGTTAGCCCAGTTGAGAGTTTCCAGTACAAGTCAGCTGGATTAGTTTAGAGACTTTTGGGTGTAAATGGTAACAGGACGGCCATATTGGAGAGGTTTGTTCATTTGCTGTTTGTCGACATGTTGATGAGTTGTCCTAAAGTGTTAGTAATGGTCAGAAATTCAGTGGGAGCTGGATTAAAAAAATAGTCCAACACAAGCCTGTTAGAAGCCTAGTCTTGTGTGGATGTGGTTATGGTTTCCAGGCAGGAATGGTAAACGGCCTGTATTTGATGTAGTGCCTTCTAGAGTCCTGGAACCCCCCAAGGCACTTTACAACACAATCAGTCATTCACCCATTCACACACACTTTCGCACACTATTCCCTCGAATGGGTTAGTGTGTTAAACCATCTAGAGTCATGGAGTCTTGATGATGGTTACAGATGGAGAATGGCATCCTGCTGCCGACGCTCCAGTCCGCTCTGCCCTTCCTGGACCTCCACGGGACGCCCCGGCTAGAGTTCCATCAGTCTGTGTTTGACGAGCTTCGGGACAAGCTGATGGAGCGCGTTGCCACCATCGCTGAGGGAAAAGAGGACGACAGGTCTGTGGGGACATGTGTTGGACAGGTTGACCTGTTGTGCTAGTCTTCATTGTGTCTTCTCATTTGTAGGTATGTGAAGCTGGAGGAGCTGCTGGAGAAGAGCTTTCCTCTTGTTAAGATGCCCTCCATCCAGCCGGTGGTGATGCAGGTGCTGAAGCATCTGCCCAAGGCAAGTTCTTCTGTCAGAGTGCCACAACTCTGGTGTATCCAATGCCCACAGTCAGCTCTTTTCTGTCCACCAAAACAGTGGACAATGGCTGCATGGTGGCGCAGTGGTTAGCACTGTTGCCTCGCAGCACAAAGGTTGCAGGTTCAAAACTCGGCTGCCGCCTTTCTGCGTGGAGTTGCATGTTCATCCCCTTCCATGCGTGGGTTTCCTCCGGTTACTCCGGTTTCCCCCACAGATCACAACATGCCCTGTAGGTTATAAACTGTAAGTCGCTTTGGATAAAAGCGTCTGTCAAATAAATAAACATAATTAACATAAATGACTTGAAATCACGTCAGTTAATTCAGATGACACCAAGACTAGCCTTAGCTACAACCCTGTCCTAGCAGCAAAGAGGTTGCAGGTTCAAGCCTCACCTGCACAGCCTTTCAGTGTCAGTGAGCATGTTGTCCACATGTCCAGGGTGTCCCCCACCTCTCTCCTGGAGACTGATGGAGATACCTGAAGAGGCTGTAGAAGCTGAAGGAATGATGTTTTTAGATTAACTTCAGCCGCAATACAAGCTAAAGCTAAATGATGACTGGTGGTTATGGCGGTGATTCAGAGTCTGAAGAGGTTTAAAGGCATCTGGACCATCGATCAAGCTGAACTGGTTTGATTTAGTCCATGAAAGGCTGACCTGGGTTTATGTCACAAACTATTAAAAACATTTTCATCTCAAAGGGTTTGGATTTGGGACCAAAGTGCAGGAAGTGATGATCACAATTAGAAAGAGTAAAATATCCCTAACCCCAAAATTCCACTACCTCCGCTCCGGGACGAACTCCGCAGCAAAATCGGTCCCGTTGTAGTCAATCAGAGCTGTTCCACCACTGCGGCCGTGCGGCGCAGTGCGCCACCCACCGTTCCGCCATCTGGCAAAAATAGGATCAATTCTATTTTTGCCGGACGCCGGAGCACCTCCGCAGTCAATGGACAGAAATCACAACCGCCCAACAGGAAAAGGAGCAAGCACAACTTCCGTTATTTCACAATAAAGCGATAAATAAAAAGCATTTTTTGTTTCATATGCACAGGTTTAACAACTTGTAACAACTATCAATGGTGGCTGAAGTTTAAATGCACAAAAATAAGCCATAAATACAGTTTCTGCTATCAAAGTAGTCACCCTTTGTTGATCCAAACACTGCTGATCTCTCAACACAAATGATGGGCAGATTAAACAGTTCATGCCGATGCTTCTCCCACACAACGGGAGTTTGGATCTAACTTCCGCGTTTATTGCTCGGACTGTATCGCAAGATCTCGAAAATCCCGCGCATGCTTGTTTGCCCTCCTCAGGTCTCCGCACCGGAGCGGAGCCGCTGTAGAGTGGGTGGAAACATTCATCTGACCTTGAACGTGAACAAAACAAAGGAGATGATTTTAGACTTCAGAAGAAACAGGGTGGAGTCAAACACCGTTTCCATCATGGGAGAAGAAGTGGAGGCGGTTGAGGAATACAAATACCTTGGAGTGCACGTGGACAACAGACTGGACTGGAGAAAGAACAGCGAAGCCGTTTACAAGAAGGGACACAGCAGACTGCACTTCTTGAGGACTCTTGGGTCCTTCAATGTCTGTAGCAAGACGCTGCAGATCTTCTACAAGTCTGTTGTTGAGAGTGTAATCTCTTCATCCATCGTCTGTTGGGGTAGCAGCATCAGAAGCAGGGACCTGAAAAGGCTCAACAGCCCAATAAAAAAGGCTGGTTCTTTTCTGGGGACGACTGTGGAACCGCTGGAGGAGATGATGCAAAGAAGGATTCTCCAGAGAATCAAGAACATGATGGACAACCCTGAGCATTCTCTTCACAAGACTGTCCGACAACGGAAGAGTGTCTTCAGTCAGAGGCTTCTTCAGTTTGGCTGCAACACTGACCGCTACTGGAGATCCTTCCTGCCAACAGCCATTGTAATATACAACAACTCTTTGATGACTTGATTATTATTATTATTCTGAGCTACTACAGCAATCAATTTCCCTCTGGGATTAATAAAGTATTTTTGAATTGAATTGAATTGAATTTTGACCGATCGTACGAAGATTCTGAATTTCATTCATAGGAAAGAATATAGGAATATTTCTACAAATGTTTGATGAATGAGGGCCTGAGTGGGAGTTTGTCTCTCACGTCGGAGCTCGCTCACTTATGACGCTTTCAGGATTGGAACACCAACGTCATCATTTCTGAACTTCAGATGATGTAAGTGTAAATGGTTCAGAACGCAGCAGCGCGTCTGGTCTTCCATCAGCCAAAAAGAGCACACGTCACCCCTCTGTTCATTGAGCTCCACTGGCTACCGCTAGCAGCACGCATCAAATTCAAATAGCTAACACTAGCATACAAAGTCCAAGATGGTACGGCTCCCATCTACCTGAATCCTCTTGCAAAGGCTTACGTCTCGGCCCGGCCGCTCCGGTCATCACAGGATCGTCGGCTAGCAGTGCCTACACCACGCTCAGGACAATCCAGACTCTTCTCTTCATTTGTGGAACGATGCATTTGAAAAGGAAGTCGCAGTTCCTACCAGAACAGCAGCTTCCTTTTCAATTTTCAAGAAACTCCTGAAGACCCTGCTCTTCAGAGAGCATCTTCTAAACTAGCACCCCCCCTGCACCCGTCCCCCCTCTCTACTGGCCACTCCTTGTCCCCTCCTCTCCATGACTGATGTCAAGTTGTTGTTGTTATTGTTGTTGTTAGCCTCAAGGGCAACATGCCGATTATCACTTGTAAGTCGCTTTGGACAAAAGCGCCTGCTAAATACATAAACATAAACAAGACTGGAAAATCCTTTTTGGTTGAAAGTGAAGCCGGTTTCATTCTGTCCTCTTTGATCCGAGCCTCATCCTGCAGCTGTTTGTCAGGCGAAGACCTTGTGCTTTTTCTGCAGGTACCAGAGAAGAAGCTGAAGCTGGTCATGGCTGACAAAGAGCTGTACAAGGTGTGTGCTGTGCAGGTGAAGAGGCAGATCTGGCAGGACAACCAGGCTCTGTTTGGGGACGAGGTGTCCCCGCTCCTAAAGCAGTACATCGTGGAAAAGGAAGCCGCTCTGTTCAGCAGCGACCTCTCCATCCTCCACAACTTCTTCAGCTCTTCTCCTAAAGCCCGGCGCCAAGGCGAGGTGAGCCAGCTGGGTTAGGTCTGCATAAGTAAAATCCTGACAACTGCTCACTCTGGACATGTTTTCCCATCCTCAGTTGTTTTTTTAATCTGTTCCCGTGAGCTGTGATTTGGGTTTAACTGTTGAGTGTTTGTTTATTCAGATCCAAACTGGTTAAAGGTTTCATGTTGGTTCTGGGCGAGACCTCTTCATCTTCTCCACATG